TTCTGTCATTTAAGCCCCACCCCCCTGGTTACTGTTGCTATTGTAACTATTATATTATGAATGCTGGTAGCTAGCATTCCACACACACACATACACTTTTTGCCAAGGTTCCAGCTGCAGTCACCAAGACATGTAAATGTATTTAGTAACCCTCTGGGGTCCAGAGTATAATTGGCCGTTTTTGACTACTTTAGATTTTACCTCTATATTTCACCTTTAAAAAAATCTTCTTCTTTTTTTTTTGGCACAACCTCAAATATCTAAAATTTGAGTTAATTTTCATTTATACTATATTTGCACAATAGATCTAAATTCAGACAAAAATAATTCAAAATCCGAGTAGAAAATACTTGTCATTTTTACTGTAAAAGCCACAAACATGTTTAAGGAATTGTTTTCATAACTTGAAATGCGAATAGAAGTTGTACATTTGTAAAAATTATGCACAAGTTTTGCAAACAACTTTATGTTCAGTATAATATATGCAGGTTTTCTTCCTGAATACTATCGTTGTTTATATTTACTGCGGGAAGAAACGGTTTTTATAAGGAAAAACACTAGAAAGCACTCAGTCCCCCTCCCAACTCCCCCAGCCTTTCCTATTGGTGAAAAAATATACCATGTGGACCAATCAAAAAATGATAGGGCAACATAGCATTTAGTTGTTTACGAAGGCGGGCAGGTGTATACATATAGTTTGAGTCTGACGGCTCTTTGTTTGCTTCTCATCTGTAAACTCTGCATACTCTCTCATGTGATTCAGTTTGTTTTGAAAAGTCTCAACAGGATCTTGAGCTTTATTGTGAAAGGTTTACGTGGAAAACAAACAAGCGTACAGCGGAACCACGCGATGGTTTTACCGTCATTGTTGCTAACGAAAACACGTAAAAACAGGCACTTGCCCGCCCATAGTGTGGTTATATTAAATATAAGAGAAAGAGAGAACTTTAAGAAATTAATATAGCCACTAAGGTGACCGTCAAAACGATGAAAAATACTGCTGTAAACAGTTTATTTTACGACATCACGAAACAAACGATAGCGTAATAGGAAACGATAGACATTTTTATATGTCATTTGATATATATCGTTATATCGAACAGCCCTAACATACACTCTTATATTTGTACATATATTTATTCTTATAATTCTCAGATTTACCCATTCGTATATTTTGCTTGTTCTTATGTTATTGTATTTTGCACACCTCTGTTGCACACACATAAGAATTTCGCTCACATGTGCTGTACCAGTGTACCTGCACATGTTATGTGATACGGGAAATCTCCAATTTTTTTTTATTTTGTTTTTTTTGAGATTAAATAATATACCATTGTAAAGACGACACAAGAGTTCCAGAGGCTCTTCTGGGAGCCAGAGTCGACCAGAAAACGTTTCCCCGAGCTTGAGTCCTCTATGAAGAGCAGCCTTTCCTTATCGGCAGCGGTCACAGCCGCTACAGAGCGCTGGCAGGCTTGTTTCCCTGGGCCTTAAAACTGCAAAGGCGGCACGGTGCTGTCACGCTGATGGTAAAAACACAGGCCTTTAACACAGTGCCGCTGTGCCACTTTATTTTTAACAAAACACTACGCTTTATGTATAAAGAACTGCCTATTCTACTACTTATTGAAGAAAAAGAATCCACAAAAGATTATTTTTACTTTCTTTTATTTGTTCCAGATAAATTATAAATTATTTTTTAAAAAGCAATGAAATGCATCAGATGTCTCCCATGCTTTCTTTTCTGCTGTAATTTTTTTTTTTTGAACATAAATTGGTCTATTGAAAATAAAATGTAGTAAGAACCACTACATTTTTTCAATAGGCCAATTTATGTTTAAGAAAACCCCAACAATCAAATGATCTCATCTGAGCAAGCACTGGGCGACGGTGGGAAGGAAAAACTCCTTTGTCTTAAAAAGAAGAAACCTTCGACAGAACCAGGCTCAGATGGTGCGGCTTCTGTCAAGACCGGTTGGGGTTAGGTAGTTAAAAAACTACTCTAACGGTACAGCACTACAGCTTTTTGGTGGAAATGGGTGGAAGGATGGGTGTTACACCTCGTTTCATTGGAGGTCTTACAGGTGGTCGGGGTGTAGATTCAGCTTTTTTACAAATAGGTGGCAGAGGGACAGGACTAGGTCGTGGAATTATAACTAGTTGGGTGGGAATAGGTTGTCTGTGAAGGTTCTCAGTCATGGGAATAGGTTGCTTTCCACTTCTGGATATAGGTGGAACACACATCCTACGAAAAGGTGGTAGGTTGTCGGTCGAGAAAGTTTCCTTTTTCGTTGGTTGTGTGACTTGAGGAGCGGGTGTCAACTTTGTCTTTTTCGGTCTAATGGGTGGCAGTGGAGTCCGCTGTAACTGTTGTTCGTCAGATGCATCTTCCCTGCCTACGTAAATGTATTTATGTTCCTCAAAAAGGGCAATGTCTTTTTCAACTTGACTCATTGCCTCTTCGAGAAACATTTTGTAATTGTATTTTTTGTGCTGTGAAGGGGAGATAGTAAAAACTAAACTGTCAACTATGAAAACTCTTTCATCAAATCAGTCCCACTGTTGCCAAAATCTTAAACACTATTCAAAGCTCAGTCTCCCATTTAGCAAAACTCTAAACACAAAACACACTTAGCAGTGTGGTGCACCTGTTGTCGTGTGAAGGCTGTGTGCAGTAGTGATGTCTCCTGTGTGTCGAAGCTTTGAAGCGTGTGTCGGGTAATCTCGTGGTAGTTTTGTAAAGCGCGTATCGAGGCTTGCTTTGATTACGTATGCAGTGATGTTCGAGGCCTCGCGGGCAGTCCGTACCACGTGACTGATTCAGGAACTGGCTCGCCGGTTTGCACCAGATTCTAAATAAATTGGGCAGCAAAACACAGCTGATTCCCCGTCACATTGTGTTGTGGAATTGGATTACGTCCCAGTTACATACTTACTTGAACATTTCTCCTTCGATGGAACCAGCAAGGAAGAGAATATTTGTCTGACAACATTTAATCTCATCTCTCCTAATAAAGTATGCACACAGTAATAAATATCACAAATGATAAGTACCATAATATAAATCAACAACACCACAGATCTTATAATCTGATTTCTGTCTTTTAGTTTATTACAGTTTTTTCTGAATGCCTAAGCACATTTTTTGTAACTATTGGCTAATTTTGCAAAACTCTTCACACAAATAAGAAAACCTGTCACCCAATAATCAAAACATTGTAGTTCTCTTGCAAAAGCAAACACAGCTAGATTAACTCTTCACACCTTCGTAAAAATGGTGTTTCCGTATCAAACAGTACACACAAGCCATCATCTACTAAGCACACAATGCGCCAACTGCACACTGATGGTATGAATACAAAACACATCTGGCTTTTGCTTTCTCTGTGCACAAGGTAGGCTATGTCAGTTTGAGCTCATACTTCTGTCATAGATCCATAAGCATAGAGGGATCCAAACTTCAAGTACTGGTGTACTTGAAACACATCAAAACAAACACAAGTGTTCATTTCCAAGTATAGGATTATTTGCAATCGCCATAATGACTATATGGGTTACTTGGTCTGCAGTGAACATGCTTCCTCTGCCCCCAGCATCTGGTCATCTAGCAATTCTGTAAAGTAACAATTTCAGTATTTTTACATCAATGGTATTGGTGTGTTTCTCATTGGCATATGGCAGTGCTACAAATCTTTGTGCGAAGTGACTGTACTAACCGATTCTCATTTCAAGATGTCCTTATGGTACTTGCTACAGTGTAGCGGCTCGAGTTAGGCTGGACCCGTTGGCCAGCTACCCTCAGGGTCATTCCACGGTTGATTACATGGTTGATTACATGGTCCACTATTGTCATCAGCAATTCTATTTCTTACTCTTCCTACCCTTCCTCTCCCCCCTCCTCGTCTTCCTCTTGCTCCTCCTTGTCCTTGTCGTCCTCTTCATCCTACTTCTTCACCTCTACGTCCTCTTCCTCGGCCTCCTCTACTTCTCACTCTTTCTGCTCCCTCCATTGTACTCCGCACACACAGCTTACCTGTATTATAGTGCTTAGGCTGATTGCAAAGTGAACTAATTATCTAAAAAAGCTTTCACATGTGAAAGTGTGCCAGACAGTTGGCAAATTAGTGTTAATGATAGCCATACATGTGTATACTTTTGCTAGGAGTGTGTTGGAAATTTGGTAATTGAGTGTTGTGCAGTGAATTGTGCCTACCGTTTTGCAAAGTGTGTGTTACAAAATTGCAAACTGAGTGCAAAGCAGTTTATGTGCTTTTAGTTTTGCAAACTCAGTGAGTGGTTTTGCTATAAGTCTGAATAGTTTTAGAGATTGTGCTACAGGAATCACAGTTAGGGTTTAAGCATTCAGAAAAAACTGTAGTTTTTGAACGCTCAAAATAAGCGTCACACTTGCGGAAGCCGATATACCCGCCGAAACGCCGTGCATTTATCGAGACTTTCAACCCCAGGTAGGCTAATTATCAATCTTCGGATCCACATTATGTCAGCAGCTCCACCGTGAACTATGTTAAAAACAAACACCGCTCACGCCTCACAGATGACAGCTTACAGTCCTGCGTAAAGATGAAAGTGACTTCATACAGCTCCGATTTGCAGACGCTGTGCGCAGAGATTCAGGAGCAGAAGTCCCATTGTAAACATATCACGGCAGACCCAACGATGTTTCCATGAACACGCTTTACAGCTTCTCTTTATTGACCACTTTTCACACACGGTTGCTGTATGCATACAGCCGGTGTTAAAGCTCACAGCCCGACACATACCAACACAACAGCATAGAGAGCACAGACGTTAAGGCGCCGAGGCGTGATCGCGGGTGCCGCTCAGGTGCGTCCGCCTCCCCTGCAGCGGCGCTGCAGACCACGCCCCGCCACACACATTAACCAGGTAAAATACATATTGTCAGGGTTCCTGGGTCGGTGACCCAGTGTTTTCAGTTTTGTTCATGTTCATATATATATATATAGCATATAGTAAACAATGAATCTGTAAACGACAGCTGTTGACATTTTTTAAAAATGAATGAAAAAGCATATTTAAATAATCAACATACATGATTTAAATATAAACACACACGTGACAAGAGACAGAACGTGTAGAAGATATATGCAGAAAGAGCTTTCAGTGGTCAGCTGATAACATGATATCTAAAAAATACATAGCTCATTTTCCTGTCTGTTAGTTGGACATGCTAACCTGTTAACAAGCTCCTATATTCACCCATACAGTTTGTAGATCATTTTGCTAAAATAGGTAAAATCTCCACTCTTTCAGGGCACTAATAGGCTAAAGGCATATTACAAAAGGTCATTCATGTATTCACAGATTCTCTGTAGTTATTCTGCTGCTCATTCACCTGTAAAAACCACACCAATCATTATTTCAACAGCCTTTTTATTTTGGAACAAAAGCATTTGACGATATGACTTACAGGACGTTACCAAATTCATGAAGCTATATTTGTGAGTTTATTTATCAATATCAGTTTAATGTAAACAGACTGATGTAGTAATAGACAGTAAAATGTTGGTGCGTGTGTAATATATGAGCGTTTATGTTTCTCTACATGGGTAAAAGTACTCCATGTCACCCTCTGGTGGTAGCAACCAACTATGAAAAGAATGGATGTTGGATCTTAACTAAATGATAAAAAGTTTTATTACTTTGTATTACTTTCTTTAGTTTGGTAAAATTTACAGTTTTAATCCCGTAAGAAAATAAATCACTATCATAGAGAGGGATATTAGTAATTCGTTTGTTAATAACACTTTGTTTGTGTTTGCTAATGTTTCGACAGGAAAATGGTTTTCTACAAAGTTGTTTCATGTACAGAGTAACACACACACACACACACACACACACACACACACACACACACACACACACAGCTATTACCCATTTCTTGTTTTTAAACTTAAGATAAATTAATAACTATATCATTCAAAATAATAAATTAATCTTGAATGAAGATTGATGATGTGACTACGTCCACAGTAGCCCGGACAGATTTGAAAATGGCGTTTTGTCTGAAAACGCTCTGCGTCTAACGGTGTGTTCACTAGCGTTTTCAGTCGTTTTCACAGAACGGCTGAAAACGCTTACGTTCCAGTACTGCGCATGCGTGAAACGCAAGAAGATTCGACCTGCCTCATTTCTGTCTGCCGCTTCTTTACTTTCCCGCTCTTTGAAACGTCGCGGCAAAATGTCGAGGAAAAGCACCGAGTTTTTTAAATGGACTAACAATGAGGTGGAATTGTTGCAGCGAGTAACACAAAAGTGCAAAGTTGCAAAAGCGAGTGAGAGTTGAAGAATTTGAAGAAAAGCTATCTGGAGCATGTACAGACTGACATTAACCTTTAATAGGGCTGTCGAAATTCAGAGCAAACAAAACAACTGCTGTATAAAATGCCCTCCGCTATCTTAGTTTAATTGGTCACATGACTGCATCATATGACTAACATGCGTCATCATTTTAGAAAGTCTTTGTTTTTGCTGTCCACACTGCCATGCAAAAGCACCATTTCCAAATGTATGCGTTTTCGAGAGTGTTTTCAAAACGCTGCATTTTCCATCAGTGAAAACGGCGTCTCAGTGTGGACGGGAGGCCACAACGGAGAGAAAACGATGCACTACAAACTAAAACATATTAGTGTGGACGTAGCCTAGGACCCTCTGCAGAGGAGCCGAGAGAGCCAGGAACTTGTGAGTTGTGTTTGTCCACTCAGGCATCATTCATACTTGCTCTTTAGGCAGTTCCTGTCAGAAGGAGGAGGCACAGCAGGAGCGTCGGGGGGCGGAAGACGGTGCCTCAGTGCCTCTCTCCTTCTGACATTGTTAAACAAAACCCAACAAATTTATAATTATTTATATATTTACATGTAGGTAATGTCCTCAAGTTCTGTATAACCACTTTTTCCTCTCTCTGTGATTGTATCTCGTCGGTTGTTGTGTGTGTTTGTGTGTATTTGTCTCTTTCAAACAGGTGCCGGTCCTCACCTCTGCAGTGCTGCCGTCTCCTGTAGCGCTGCATGGTTCTAAGCTACGTTTTCTTTCCTGTTTCTGTTGTTCTTGTAGTTTTTGTCCTCAGGTTTCAAGTGTCTGTGTTGTGCAGCTGGTCTGGTCTGTCTCTAGACAGTTCAGGCTGCACCCACCAGTAAATGGTGGAGGCTCACAAAGACATACTCAACACACATGTTTCTGAACTCTGCATGAGGGTTTCTCAGACGAAGTGAGGGCCGTGAGGCACAGCTCCCCGTCCCCCGGTGACCCTGCTAGGTCCACCTTCTTAGGGAACAGTGGCGGAGGAAGACGAGGCTACATCAGGTTAGGAAGCAGCCGTGTCCCTCCTCCAGAACAAACAGAAGCGTATTTTCTTCTTTTTCAGGTGCTCTTCCACTAGACTTTTTTTTCTCTAGGATTAGGGTTCTTAACTCATCAATTGTTTCTGCATTTTGCTTCTCAAATTTCTTGCATCTTTGCTCCACTTCTTCTAATTTTGCTGCTTCTTCTTCAAGCTTTTCTTTCAGTTCTTTAGATGTTGCCTCCTGTATTAGCTTTGCCTTGTACATGTCTGGGTTTCTCTGTTGTGCATATCTTCTAACTGCTGACTTCTTGTCCAAATTTCTTCAAGTGTACACTGCAGGTCTTCATGTGCTTTCTTTTGTTGTTGCTTTTGTGCCTGCATTTCAGTGTTTTTGCACTTTAATTTGTTAGAAAGTTCTTTGAGTTCTGTCTTCTTTCTCAGCATTTCATCGATCCTACTCTGCATCTCTGAGCATTGTTTTTCCAGTTTTTCCTTTTCTGCTTCCAGTTCTGTTGTTTTGTCCTTCATTTCATTAGAAAATTCTTGCAGCTTTAGATTTTTACTCTCAAAGTCCTGGAGAATAAGTTGTTCTTCTTTCTCTTGAAGTAACTGTTCATTTCTGACCTGCGTTTCATCAAGCTTTATTTCCACCACTCTGTATTTTTCCTCCACGTCTTTGAGTTTGCGCTCCATGTCTCTCTGCTTCATGTCCTGTTCTTCCTTCTCATGAAGAATTTCTTCATTTCTTTCCGGTGCTTCATCGAGTTGTCCTTGGAGCTTCTGATTCCTTTTGTCCTCATTAATATTTAGTTTTCATCTGACCAAACAGCATCATTCCGTAAGTCAATGAGGTTGTGACATGACATTTTTGAATGGGGATATTTTTTTGCTTAGACGAATTATCAGTAAAGTTCCGATCTCTGTTAATTTGTAAAATATAAAATTCCATAACACGACAGAAAAAAACAAACAAACATATATATACACACATGGCAAATCTCTGGAGTTGAATATTCTGGAGTTACGCATAAAAGTGCGCAAGAGTTACATTCTGGGAGCAGCGAACACAAATGATTGTAAAAGAGACATTTGATGGCAGGTCTTAGATAATCCTAAATTATTGTGTCTGATTATGAAAAGCACAAGGTTTTGTAAGAGGCAGGCACTGTGGAAAAAGTAAAGATGTAAGTTCTCGAACTGTTTTTGTGAATGCTTTTCTAATTGTGTTTTTAAAATGTGACACATGTAAAATGATCATTAAAGAGCATGATATTTATAAAATTTTTATAAAAGCTCTCTACACATTTTTCCTGAGCTAATCTTAAGGCCATAGAACGTTGGAAGTCTATAGCAAATAAACTCACACTATGCACATACACATACATACCACTCTATTATGTAATTTCATGTGGCTTACTGCTTAGTGGCTAAAGTAGATGTTTTAAAACCAAAATAAACCAGAAATATAGTAGAAATACAGTTTCAAAACAACATTCAAGTCAAAAAACACAATGGAGGAAGTAGGCATGTCATTGTGAAGGTCTACAATCCATAGATGCCATCATGAATGGGATTGCAAAGAATTTCCAACACTGTATAAACCACTTGTTAAAATTAAGAACAAGAAATCCAGATTAGACTTTGCCAATAACCTGATCAATTCTGGAAAAAAAAAAAAAAAATCCTTTGCACACATGAAAATTTAACTTGTTCCAGAGCTCTGGATTTGAAGCATATCACATAATCTGTCAAACATGGTGAAGGTAATGCTCCAGTAAAGGTGTAGCAGAGCATCTTTTAGGCCCCAAAACATAATTTGGTGTTGTCCGTTAGTTCAAGACACAATGCACAGTGCATTAAGTATTACAGCTGCTAAGAAAAGGCTAACTATAATTGAGCATGTGTAACGCGGTTAAAGGACCAGGGCGCCTGACTGCAGCCTCATAGACAATGAGCTATCAGATTAAGATTCGACTATGGAGCCTGAGGGTGTGAATAAAACACAGGAAACAAAAGTAGAGCTCAAATATATATATATTATGTTTGTTATGAGAAGTGTATAGACGGATGTACAAAAGAAATAGAAACATATGCATATATATCACAAACAAAAATAATGTTGACAATACAAAACAGCTTAGTAGGTTCCAAAAGGAGGTGGGATGAGGTGTAGTCCAGTATGTGATTTAGTTTAGTTCCATGGACCTGTGATAGGTCATTGTCAACAATTTGTGATTCAGTCCATAGGTTCACAATTCCTACCGCACCGTAGCGGTGGTCGGGTGGCTCGCCATCTCGCGCTGATCAGGGCTGATCGCGGGAGAACAAAAAAAAAAAAACCTGACCTAAACAAGGTCAAAAAACAGAAATTATCATTCACAGAAGAAAATGAAACAGCATTCTACTGCTGTGACAAAATAAATACATAAATAACAAAGTCAAGTAATCAATGCCACGTTTCATACAACAATCAATAAACCATCATCTCTTATAATGAATGTCATTCTAAATACTATTATAGAAAGACATTCTCATGGGTCCCATCAAAGTATATCAGCGTTAAAGCTAATAAATATTATCCAAAGTTAATCAAATATATTTACAAAACTCATTTAATCAAAGGTGTTGCGCAACAGATTCAATAATGTAAATGGAATTTAACTCAATGCAAAATCCCATAGGCCGTTTCGGCATTTCATCAGAAAAGTAACAAAAAACATCCAAAACGGACAAAACTACAAAAATCAAATCACTCGTTCAACTCTAGATACGTTAAGTCAACATTCGGCCATAATGGAATAAACAAAAACAACAAGATTCAATAGATGACACTAGTAATTGCACTTACTGTCGCTAGCCTAGCATTAGCTTACCGGCATTGTAGGATGCGCGATCGCGGCTCCGCATGTACATTAATTGTGACAAAACAAAACAAACAAATAACTCACCGTTGAGTCGAGTGTGAGGTAGTGTAAAGATGAATGAATCGGCCGGGTTATTGCACGCTGTCAACTGGCCTGTAGTGCAAAATTTGTCGTGATCTTACAAGTACGCCAACCACAGGGACAACAGCAGCCAGAGGAGCAGGGACATACAGCTGATTGACCCGGAACTTATACAGGATTCATTCCCGCCACAATAAAGGGACTGGCGGAAGTGGGGTCAGAAGTTACCGTGGTTACACATGCACAGGTGTCATCTTGATAGTGTCATCTGTCATCACTTTATAATGAAATGTTCTTAAATGACTGTACCCAAAACTACTCTTGCTTCCTCTGACGTGAGGAGAGGAATGAAGGATGATCAAGGAGTCAAGGGGGATTGTCACAATATGAGACTGAAAGCACCGCAGTTGTTTGTGTGATCACTGCTGATAAACAATGGCACACTGAACTTGTAACTCTGCCAGGCTGCAGTCCTAACTTTCAGGATTAAAATAATACAAAGTATCTGAATTCTAAAAACTTTCTCAGAATTATGCCAGATTAAGTCAAATGTGTTTGCTTCCTGGGAATTCAGCTTATAAAAGTGTATTAAATATTCACTTACCATGTCTGCCATGTTCGTGCTGTGCCTGTTGTCAGTTTGTCACAGATCTGCAGCATTTCAAGGTGTCGTAATGGAAATCTCGATCGTCTGGAAAAACATTGTGACAATACAGTGATGCCACCCTGCACCAAAGGAAACACATGTAACCAAGGTAACCTCTGACCCCACAGTTTAAGACAAGGATCTCCTACACAGCTATGAAATGATAAACTCCCATTCATTTCTCTGAACAGATTTTTTTCCCTTTGCTCTTTACTTGTCTCATTAGACATGTGACTTCAAAAATGCTTATCAACTACAGCCGGGTATGTGGCAGGTAATGTGGCATACTGCAAGCACCTTTGTCGGGAAACCATGATGGAAGATATTCTATAATAAGGAAATAAAGAATTTAATTAGACATGCCAGGGCAAAGGCGTGTCCCATTTAGTGGAGGAGTCAGTAAATGGATGACCTCGACCTTGTGAAATCTGCTTTATGTCCATTAAACACAATCTTGCTATTTTGTTTTCAGTTTAAAGACATTTTCTGTGATAGATACAGTATTTTGTTTCCACTATATTGAAGGATAGTAAGTAAGTTTACAGTAAGTTTGGGCTGGAATTCACTTCTCATGGCATAAGGCTCATAGACTCAGAGCATTACAATATAAAGCGCTTTATATTGTAAGGTACACCCTACAATAATACAATTTAGTTACTAATTAACCTATCACTAATAACTATATGTCTTGGGACACTGGGAGGAACTCATGCAAACTCCAAACAGAAAGATGCTAGGCTGATGGTCGAATTGAACTCAGGATCTTCTTGCTGTGAGGCAACAGTGCTAACCGCTGTGCTACCGTGTGCGTTTTCCTCACTAATTAAATTGTGTACACACTACTGAGCAGAATAGGATAGAATGAACTGAGGAGAAACAGGAGCTTAGATCACAATCTGTCTCCATCTTGTGGCAAAACTGTGATCACAGAAGAAGACATGACAACAGAGCAGAAGAAAAATACAATTTATTCTCTATCAGACCGTCAAAACCATTAAATACCGTAAGTCATCAGAATAAGACCCTCAAGAGCTTTAAATTACAAGAGTTACACACAGTAGAAAAAATCCTTAAACACAGCAACAGACTCACTGAAGATGTCTTACAGAAACAAGAGTGTGGTTTATAGGCATCAAGAGATGAGACCAAAAAGGGGAAAAAAGTATTTTTTCCAACAGGGATTTTGTTACCTCATCATGAAACTTTAGGGTTGTATACAGAATCAGTTACAATTTATTTATACAGAAATTACATTCAGATTTTATTCATTCACTTCTGATTAAATAAGAAAAAAGTAACATTAATAGCCTCTACAGAAGAGGCACTTATGGAGAGGTCTGCTAAAGTCTACAAATATACACATCAGTGAGAATATGACGACTCTATACAGCTCACACCAGAAGCCCTTTGACCTCTTTGAAACTAAACTGGTATTGTAACATCCACTGTGGCTGACACGGGCCAGAGGGGGAGTGTTGTAGAGGTGGTTGACATTGCAATTCCCCTCCAAAGGCTGTGAGTTTCTGCACTGCATACCTGCAGGTGGCTAGTCAGCTGTAGGCTATCAGTTAAACTTTACGGTCCGAATAGGAGTTCGATGCAAATTTAAAACTACACCCCTTGTTTCAGTGGTGTAGTAACCGACTGCTCATTTAATGTCAACACACTTGATGGCTTTACTGTAATCTTTTCATTGCTTACTTCATAAACACCATTTAGAGAGTATTCAAAGTATATTAATTCAATAAACCGTTCTTATGTAGGTTGTCTTGACTGTAACAAAACTGGAAGCATTTTGACTGAAATACACCAATCAGCCACAACAAACTTCTGACAGGTAACGTTAATAACATTTGTTGCTGATAACGAATGGCTCCAGAACATATGGAAGAGCTCCTGGTGTTCACCTGGCCTCCTCGTACCCCAGATCCAAATCTGATTTGTCTTCAGTGGGATGAACCAAAAAAAATAAAAAGCCAAATCACAGAGGGTCAAAAGTACCCAAAATATCCACTTCTAATGTTCCACTGTCATTTTAAACAGGACACCAGCAGAGGTCCAGTTACCTGATGGGCCAGAGTGGTTTTGGAAGCTTATGTAATATCGCCCAGAAGCCA